TGTTGTTGTTGTTTGCCATCGAGTCGGCCCCGACTCATAGCGACCCCTCCTTGGGTTTCCGAGGCAGTATCACTACGGAAGTAGGATTGCCCAACCTTCCTTCCGAGGTATAGCACTGGGCAAATCGGCTGCAAAGGACCTCTTTCAAGTGCTGAAGAGCAAAGGTGTCTCCTTGAGGACTAAGGTGCGCCTGACACAAGCCATGGTATTTTCAATCACCTCATATGCATGTGAGAGCTGGACAGTGAATTAAGGAAGACCGAAGAAGAGTTCATGCTTTTGAGCTGTGGTGTTGGTGAAGAATGGTAAAAGTACCGTGGATTGCTAAAAGAACAGGTCTGTCCTGGAGGAAGTGCAGCCAGAATGCTCCTTGCAGGAGAGAATGGCCAGACTTCATCTCACATACTGTGGTGATGCTGTCAGAAGGGACCATTCCCTGGAGAAGGATGTCATGCTTGGTAAGGTGGAGGGTCAACAAAAGAGAGGACTAGGCCCTCAACGAGGTGGATTGACCCAGTGGCGGCAGTGATGGGCTGAAGTGTAGCAAGAATCATGGAGCTGGCTCAGGACCGGTGGTGTTTTGTTCTGCTGTGCATAGGGTCACTATGAGTCAGAGATGACTCGATGGCACTTAACAACAACAACAATAAGCATCTATGTACAGATTGGAAATTTTATTAGAAGTTCAAGGAATAGGGACGGGGTAGGTGCCCCAAAGGAAAGGGGAGAGAGTGGGGTATGTACTATATCAGAAAAATGGGTGGAGGGAGGTCAAACAGAAGAACCTACCGGAGGTCTGCTGCATACCTGCTGTCTCATTCTCTGTCATTCTGAACCAAAGGGAAACACAGAAAAACTACACTCCTAAGTACATACTGCAAGACCTTTACCCCTAAAATAGTGCTTCACTTCTCACAGACTGCAGTGAGCCTTATCATACCCACAGGCCCTTTCCCCTCTCTCACCCCTTCCCACTTCAGAGCAATCAGTCATGGGTAAATATTAGCAGTAAATTTGGCCACCTCTTTTCCCCCTTGAAAGTAGATTCTGTCTTAAAAAACCAAGAGAGTTATTTTAACTCCATGCTGAATGACAAATTTAATGGCAGAGGACATGAAAGAAGGTATTAGAATTCTAAACTCTTGGTAGTCTTTCTGAAAGACCTTTGTTTTTTGGTGTGTGTATGTGTGTATGCATTCCTTAATATCTAGGCAGACCTCACCTTCTGTCAATGGTAGGAGCAAAATTTTAGTTGAAAAGAAAGATGATTCCCTTTAAGCCTGGTGAGGCCAAACTTAGTCCCCCACCTGTAGAGTTTTCCAGGGTCCCCAGGAACACACTTCATTTCATGGTTTTGGCTCATCCATAGATGACTGACATCCATAGATGGCAGATGATGACACTAAAGGGTAAGTAATGCCAGGTCATGAGGGAGACTTGACTGCCATGCTGATGACCTTGGACTGTCCTTAGGTAATGGTGAGGTGCAGAAGGCCTTACACAGAGGAGAAAAATCAGCCAGTTTGCTCTCTGGATCTATTGCTGTGGACTGGCACTGTGACCTTGATGAATCATGCTATTTAAGAAAATAATTTTAATTCATCTTCTTTGGATATTTGTTACTGTACTTTTATAACCTAAAGATCTATTGATCTACAAACTTTTGTGTAATATGATACAAATGTGCTCAGCATGGAAGGAGAAGTGCAAAAGAGAGGACTGTATTATCATTCAAATTCCCATTTGTGGTGGACTGCGAGCTGGTAGATTATAAACTAGGCAGAAGGCACAGAGTTGGAGGGGGTCAGCAGTGACAGGAAATGAACTTGATGAATGCATGATGAACTTAGAAGTCTGTGAACAGTCCAAAGGGAACAGGCTAAATGCTGAAGTCAAGGTGAAATATTTATTTTGTTTATTTAAGAATATTATCACTTACAGAATTAATGAGGTGATTCTTAAAAGTTTCAAGTTCATATAAACAATATAAATATGTATTTTAAATTGAAAGGCTATATACCTGGAAAGCTAAGTTGGCATTTTCATGCATTCCAAACACTTCTGGGTCATCTATTAGAGGCAGATTTTCAATGTAGTCCTTAAACTCTTGTAGGGTGTCAGCCAAGGGTGCAAAATAGATGCCTGTTATTAAAAAGACAGAAAGTAAACATGTCTCAAATAACCTGGCTTTGTACCTCTGGGTTTGGTACGTCTTTGCCTGGCTCTGATGGTGACTGCAAGCAGCTGCCTCACAAAGAAAAGGGGATTGTTTTTCCCAAGCCTCATTGCTTGCACTGCTGTGTCTAGTCTTGTCACCTTTACTTGAGACCCTGAGTATCTGATCAGAGTCCTAACTTTTTGAATGTCTCCTCCAGAACATTTCAAGCTTCTGAGAGACTAGGGCTGTGCTGCTGAAAGGCTTGTCCCATTAAGGGCTCCAAACAAATGCTGTGTTATGGACTACTTTCACATTTGTTTGTTAAACAGCAACAACTTTCCCTGTTTCCCCAAACCAAAAGCTACATTTGCAAAACACTGAAATCTAGGGTTACTCAATTTTCCTTAGAGATTACAGGATATACATTTGAGTCTTATCAGCTCTGAGGATCAGTATCTTTCAATTCAGTGGTCAGAGCTTTTATGTGCCCACTGTGCACTAATCAGATTGCTCCCTCCAAAGGACTGGAACTGTGAATCGACTTGCTGAGCTAACACCAACTCATAGATGGCCAGGCATGGCAATGGGGTGGCAGTGGGAGCTGGTGGTGAAAACTGGACATAGAGCCCCTGGATAGAAAACTGAGAGATGCTGTCAACAGTTTCTTGACAAAAGTCTTTTATATAATACTGAAAAGTCACTCACCTGATTCAGAATATTTATAATCAGCTTCTAATGTCTCAGGAGAAAAAAATTTTTTCAAGACAGTACGAAGGCATCTTTGATCCCAGGTGTCTGTAACTCTACCACCATATGTAATTTCACCTGAAAAAGAGTTTGCATTTGAAAATATTTTATTGTTTGTTTTATTGATAAGCATACCCAAATTTTAACAGGTTTATTTACATATATATTTGATACTGAAAATAGAAATACCACATCAGCATTTTCTTTGACTACCCTTCAAAAATAGAATACAAGTCAATTTTTAAAAAGCAGAAAAAAAGTATAGCATATGTAGTTTAAATATTTTGGGTTTTTCAAATACTATAGAGTAAAACCACATAATTCTACAGATTCCTTCCTTCTTCCTGTTCTTTTTCTTCAAAATCTGGATTTTGGGTGTTAGTCTATCATTGACTGCAGTATTCTAAAACATACATAGTTTCCATGAAACAGGGCTTCTTTAGGGGGCCAGTAGGAAAAATGAAACAAAACATTTGGAGCAAGGTATTCATACTCTATGTTGTTGTTGTTTGCCATCGAGTCGGCCCCGACTCATAGCGACCCCTCCTTGGGTTTCCGAGGCAGTATCACTACGGAAGTAGGATTGCCCAACCTTCCTTCCGAGGAGTGGCTGGTGAGTTTGAACCACCAGCCGTCTGGTTAGCAGGCAAGTGTCTTAGCCACTATGCTACCAGAGTACCTTATAAATTATTGAGCTAGGAAGGAAAGATCCAAGGTGAAAGAGACAATGTGCCTTATAGAAATTACGGGGAATTAAGAGTCACTGGTATCTACTTCTTTACCCAGAGTAGTTATATTCAGCATCCTCCATTATTGTCCCAAAATTATGCGTAGGAAAGAACCACACTGGAATGATAGCTATTACTGATATAATTCCATAGCAAAATTCCATATCCACTGCTGTAACACTGTAGTGTTCCTGGAAGAATGCCATCCATGATACTGACATTGTCAACTCTGAATCCCCCTTCTCATTTCCATTTCTTCCATTACTTGAGGAAGAAAAAAACATTTTTCATTCTCTTTCAAGTTGAGATGGTTAGTTGACAGAAAGTTATTTTGGCCTTGGAATCTTAATTTATTTCTTCCAAGACAACAATGTACTTTCTCTGTACCTCCTGTAGGGACAATTATCTCTCTTCCCCTGTTGGAGCACCCCTAGTCAGTCTTGTTGGATTACCCTCTCACTCAGGGAGAAAGGAGGGGAAGTGGGTGCCAGGGCTGATGGTCAAGTAGCTGAATCTGTGTACTAGCAGTTTTAAGAGGGAAGGAAGAGATGCTGCTGTGACTTCTTGGGAATATTCTTCAGCCATCCTTTGGCAAGTCTTGGAACACAAAGTTGGATTAAATTCCTGTAATGAGCCCATCAAAGCTGGGTTCAGCTTGTAGCTTTATTTTATTGGTTCCATGGGACTGGACAGTAATATAAAGCTCAAGCTTCTCCGATTTCATGATAGTGTCAAGAAAGGAGGATGGCCAGGAAAAGAGACTCCAACAGGTAGTGGTGAAAGAAAAGAATTTCCTTAAAGTATATTATTGTTTTTTAAAAAAGTTTTAATCTAAAACATCTACATTTTGAGAAGCAGCACAAAAATGTTTTTCTTACAAATCAAAACACTCTGTCTTTATCCATCCAGAATTAGTTTTATCCTTTTGCTTGGATCAAACCTGGTAAATAAGGAGTTCTACCATTTTGACTCAGGGTATATGATTCTCAGCTCACTTTCAGGAAGGAGTCTCTTGGGTGTGGTCTTCCCAGAAGAGGGGCCTTGGGAGCTATATACAGGATTGCCACCTAGCCTGGCCCCAGTATCAAAGTTCCTCACTGCAGATCCTAAGAACTGGCTTCCTGCTTCCTTTCTGATCCCCATGGGCTGACTTGACATGGCCCAGTGCAAACTAGATGGGACTGAGATTTGGCTCTGTCCTTATCTACTTTGAGATCAGATACCTCTCCAACACCATTCCTGAACTTACGCATTGCTGGAGCCCACATTGTGAAATTTTAAGACCCTTTCCCCCAACTCCTATATATAATATATGTAATATTTCTCTGTTTATTCTCCCCTCTCTAATTTCTCCCCTGGTGTTACTATAGCCCCTTGTTCAATCTCTCATTATTTTGTTTTTATTATAACTTTGTAAACTATTGTACCTCTCCCCAGTCTAAAAGACAATAACTGGTTACATGGTAGAGCCAAAATTTATTAACATGACACATAGTCCTTTCAGAATGTGGCCCCAGCTCACCTTTCAAAGTTTTTTTTTTTTTTTTTTGAAGATAAAGCTTCTCTCTATACACACCTCCCCTTCATACACACCTCTGTTCCAGCACTACTGAAATGCTATGTCTATAGTCACGCCACACCTCATGCTCTGCTGGGCTTTTGCATCTCACTGTTCTCTCTGCCCAGTGTGCTCTCTTGCCTCGTCTTTCCCAGTGAGCCCAACTCAGCACCCAACTCAACCAGCTCAACCTACTTGATATAGCTTTCCCAGACTTCTCCAGATCATGTTAGTTGACCCTTGTAAATCCCCATAGCATTATGCATACTCTTCTATTTTGGTGATTTTAATAACATATTATGATTTATTCATTCTCCTCCACTCCCCAGCCCATGAGTTTTGATGGACAGGAAATATGTCATCTGTGCATTTTCAGTATCTATTACTGTTGTGATAATCCATATTTTTTGAATTAACCCATCAATGGCTGCCTAAAATACCACCATTAGCAAGTATCACCACTTGAATAAAGCATTTCCTTTTTGATCCTATCCTATGAAGCATCAAAAGAAGATGGAAAGAATACACAGAGTCACTGTACCAAAAAGAATTGGTGGACATTCAGCCACTTCTGAAAGTAACATATGATCAAAAACTGACGGTACTGAAAGAAGTCCAAGCTGCACTGAAGGAATTGGTGGAAAATAAGGCTCCAGGAATTGATGGAATACCTACGGAGATGTTAAAACCAACAGATGCGACACAGGAAGTGCTCACTTATTTATGCCCAGAAATTTGGAAGATAGCTACCTGGCCAGATGACTGGAAGAGATCCATATTTATGCCCATTCCAAAGAAAGATGATCCAACAGAATGAAGAAATTATTGAATAATATCATTAATATCACATGCAAGTAAAATTTTGCTGAAAATAATTCAAAAACTGTTATAGTAGTTTTGGTTACCTAGAGCCACTCTGACAGGAAATATACCACAAATGGGATGGACTTAACAAACAGTAGTTTATTCTTCCAATTTGGAGGCTTTAAGTCCAAGTTCAAAGTGCAAGGCTCTAGGTGCTGGGTGAAAGCCCCTCAACCTTAGAGTCCAGCTCTGCCTCCTGCTCCCGGCCCACTGGAGCTAGAGATGTTTCTTCACTCAGACAGCTTCTGGCTGCTGAGGCTAAGAAGCCCCAAGGTTGACAAGTAAAAAGGCATAGTCCCAACATTACCAAACCACACAGCAGGCCATTAACTTAAGTCCATTGTATGTCCCAAGGTTGACAGAGCATCCAGGCTGCTGAGCAACAACATGGCTACATGTAGAGTCCAAGTGTGCCATAGGCTAGAGACCATTCTCAAAGCTTCTCTTTATATACAGGAAGCAGACCACATTCCAAAGGCAGTTACTCAGCTGCTTGTGATAGCTCCTACCATGGAGGTGATTGCCAGTCTCATCATGGGGAATAACTACCACCAGCTGCCCAGCCACTCAACCAGGCCCAGCCACGTTGATGCACAAATATAACTACCACAGTAGTACATAGGGAACTGCCAGAAATTCAAGCCAGACCCAGAAGAGGGAGTGGAACAAGGGATATCATTGTTGATGTCAGATAGATCTTGGCTGAAAGCAAAGATTACCAGAAAGATGTTCATTTATTTACTTGTTTTTCACCAACTATGCAAAGGAATTCAATGGTGTGGATAATATAAATTATGTATCACACTGCAAAGAATGGGAATTCCAGAACACTTAATTGTGCTCATGAGGAAACTGTACCTAGACTAAGAGGTAGTCATTCAAACAGAACAAAGGGATACTGCATAGTTTAAAATCAGGAAAGGTGTGTATCAGTGTTGTATACTTTCAGCATACTTACTCAATCTGCATGCTGAACAAATAACCTGACAAGCTGGACTATATGAAGAAGAATGTGGCATCAGAATTGGAGGAAGACTCATTAACAGCCTGCAGTATGCAGATGACATAACCTTGCTTGCTGAGAGTGAAGAAGACTTGAAGTACTGTGGTAGTTAAAGTTGTGTATCAACTTGGCTGGGCTGTTCTTTTTGAGTGGCTGAGAAGTTGGATATAGTTTTTCCCCTGATGAGATTGTAATCACCTCCATGATGTAATCTGCTGTGAGCAGCTAAGCAGCTGCCTTTGAGGTGTAGCCTGCTTCCAGTATATAAGGAGAAGCTTTGAGAACAGTCTCTAGCTTTTTGGCATGTTTGGATCCTGCATTTGACTGTCTTGTCAGAAGTCCCTGGACTTGAACCAGTGGCCTGTCATGTTGCCTGCCAATCTTGGATTGTTCCTGGACTTGATCCAGTGGTCTGCTGTGTTACCTGTTGATCTTGGGATTGTTCCATTCTACTTGCTGACCTTGAGTTCATTAGCCAGCAGCCAGGAGCTGCATGAGTTATGAGAAGCCTCCAGCTCCAGTAGGTCTGGAACAAGAGGCAGAGCTGAAGCCCAAGGTTGAGGACCCTTCACCCAGCCCCTAGTGCCAGCACTCTGAATTTAGACTTCTAGTCTCCTAAACTGTAAGAGAATAAATTCCTGTTTGTAAAAGTCATCTACTTATGATATCTCTGTTATAGCATCACTGGAGAACAAAGGCAAGCACTTACTGATGAAGATCAAAAACTGCAGTCTTCAGTACGGATTACCCTTCAACATAAAGAAAACAAAAATCCTCACAACTGGACCAATAAGCAACATCATGATAAATGGAGAAAAGATTGAAATTGTCATAGATTTCATTTTATTTGGATCCATAATCAACACCCATTAGAAGCAATAGTCAAGAAATCAGATGTAATATTGCACTGGACAAATCTGCTGCAAAGGACCTATCTGAAGTGTTACAGAGCAAAGATGTCACTTTGAAGACTCAGGGCACCTAACCCAAGCAATGGTATTTTCAATTGCCTCATATGCATGTGAAAGCTGGACAGTGAATACGGAAGACTGAAGAAGAGGTGATAACTTTGAATTGTGGTGTTGGTGAAGAATACTGAAAATATCATGGACTGCCTGAAGAACGAACAAATCTGTCCTGAAAGGAATGCTGCTGGAATGCTCCTTGGAAGTGAGAATGGACAGATTCATCTCACCTACTTTGGCCATCTTGTTAGAAGGGACCATTCCCTGGAGAAGGATATCATGCTTGGTAAAGTAGAGGGTCAGGGAAAAAGGGAGAGACCCTCAATGAAATGGATTGACACAGTGGCTGCAATGATGGGCTCAAGCATAGCAAGGATTGGGAGGATGACACAGGACTGGGCAGTGTTTTGTTCTGTTGTACATGGGGTCACTGTGATTTGGAGTCAACTTGATGGCACCTAACAATAACAACAACAACAACAACAACAATTTCTTTCAATGATGTTTTGCAGTTTCCAGTGTACAAGGATGTACTTCTTTTGTTAAATTTATTACTAAGTATTTTATTCTTTTTCATTCTATTATGAGTGATTTTTTTTCAAATTAATGTTTGGATTTCAAATGATATTTGTACATGGCTTTTGTGTCCTGTGACCTTGCTGACCTTGTGTATTAATACTAGTGGTTTTAAAGTGAATTTAGTAGGATTTTCTGCATACAAGATCATGTCATCTGCAAATAAAGACAAATTTACTTCTTCCTTTCTAATCGATATGCCTTTTATTTCTTTTCCTTGTCTAATCCCCCTGGCCAGAACCTCCAGTACAGTGTTTAATAGAAGCAATGAAAACAGATACATCCTCTTTTGCCCCTTCTTATCCTTTTAAAAACACAATTACTTCCACAGCAGTAGAGATTGAGGGCACCTGAAAGGCCAGGTATTCTAGGAGTGAAGGAAGGGGGAGAAAATTAAGGAATGGGAAAATTCAGGCTAAGTAGAGGGTGCCAGAGAAAATTTCTGCCTATATCATTATCTGCTTAATCAATCTTGGTCTCATTAGAATGGCTAGAGGCAGAAACATGGAATATCCCTTTCTGATTGGCCTCCCAGAATCCAGCCCTCTCCTCCTGATCCATCCTGGGGACTAGTCCTCATCCATCATTGCTGTTATTTCCCATCCTCTGCGCATACATGTTCCAAAGTTTCATCTGCCTTTGAAGGCTCTAGATCACCTGATACTCCTCTGTTTTTCCCCATTTCCTTACTCACCAATGAAAACCACCGATTTTCACCCATCAGTTCTCTCATCTGCCCTTTTCAGAGCTCTCTCATTCCCCTACTTCTCAGTGCAAATCTTCCTTCTTCATTATTTAGGACCACATGGTCAAATTTGGTCTAGCAAGATCCCCACATGGCCATAATTAATATTTGCCATGACTGTATTTCCCGAAAGATTTTTCCTTTTTCAAAGATATATAGCATTCAACAGGTTTCTACTAGTCAACTAATTTTTATATCCGTTTGCATTTAAGACTGCTGACTCTGGAGGCTAGACTGCATGGGTTCAAATCTTGGCTCCATCACTTGTAAACTTTAAATATGGTAATTCACAGGAAATGTTTACAACAGTGCCTAGTATGTAGCGAGAGCATATTTGCTATTATTATTTCCGAAAATATCTGCTTTCCTCCCCTATATTTCCAGTAGGAAATTTGTAATTACTGGTTTGATAGACCTATCAAAAGAGCATTTGTTCTTCAGGGCAAAATAGAATAACACATTTTCCCATCAAAATAAGAAAAAAACCAAACCTATGAGTTCTTTGACATAAAAATACTGTCACTATAATCATAGAGAGAGCTACCCTTTTATCCACTGATAAAACCTTTCAATCATGTCATGCTATGTTGATTACATGATGTTCTTATCAATATTGTCTTATCACAGTGTTGTCTTCACAAAAGGAATATCAGAAATCATGATTCTCACCATCAAACACTGGGAAAAGACACCATCTATCTATGGGCTAGGTGGGCATAAACCAACAAATTTTTGGTACACAGCTGGATACACTGGTCAAGTGGGCATACTGACCAGTGATGTAAATCAAGGCATCCCAGGGGATCTTTCCTTCTTGACAGTAAAGGTTGAGGTTTAGCAAAGCACATTCCCTGTCACTGTCATTAAATTCATAGCAGATATTCCAACCAAGAGCGCCAAACTTTTTTCTTTCCTGGAATAGAAAATAAAAATAATTTTAAATAAAATTTGATAAAATTCATTTTTGTGTAAATATTGGAAACTGAAAGTTTCCCTTTGCAGTAGTGCAGCTTCATGCTGCAAACTCTGTGAAAATCGTACAGTTCAGCTTTAGTTAGTTTTCACCATAAAGAAAAAACACTGGAGACGTTTCTTCCTCAAATACTGCTCCCTGCCCTATATTTCCAGCAGGAAATTTGTAATTACTGGAAATTTGATAGACCTATCAAAAGAGCATTTGTTCTTCAGGGAAAAATAGAATAACACATTTTCCCATCAAAATAGGAAAAAAACCAAACCTATGAGTTCTTTGACATAAAAATACTGCCACTATAATCATAGAGAGAGCTACCCTTTTATCCACTGTTAAAACCCTTCAATCATGTCATGCTATGTTGATTACATACTAACTTCTCCATTGTAGCATCTTTTTTTAAAAATTCACATAACCATAATCATCTCACAACATCCCACGGTGAAATATTTTACCCTCTTCTCTCCTTATCCCACCTTCAATTTCTTAATTCTGAACTGATGGACATATCAGAAGATTGGGCCCATACTGTTGCCTCTTGATCTCAAAATTTCCCCTAATCTTAAACCAAGTCCTCATCTCAGCTACTTTTATTAGTGAAACCAGGGCCCCTGATCCCATCCCCTTGGGCCTCGTCTAGGACTTTGTTCACTTAGTTATCTCATATCTTGTATCTTTATGTTTTTTCTCCTCTCACCATTTTTTTTTTTTCTGAAGGTGGCATGCATTTAAAAACCAGGCAGCCGGTCTAAATCAAATACAAGGCCACAGGATGGATACCAGAGAGAGCAGTGAGGTTTGAACACAGAGAAGGAGAAAGTTGAAGGTCATATTTCTGGAGGCTTGACACTCCATCACAGGTGGCAAGGAAGCTGTTAAGTGTGCTGAGCCCACTCAAACAGCAACAGGTAAGAGTGAAATTATTGCAAGAAAAATAACAAAGAATTAATGACTGACAAGATATGTGTGGAGAAGGAAGAATAATAGTACTGAAATTTTGATTGAAGGTGACTGACAGAATAAGACTACCATTTTCAAAAATGGTCTGGATGGGAAGCAGATGCTGGGAGTGAGGCAGAGGTGAGGACATCAATTTTGCACTTGTTGAATTTGGCCTACTGCATTCACCCAATTGATGGTGTTGTTCTGTAGAAAGAGATCAGCATAGACAGGGAAGCTGAAGCTGTGAGATAGTGAGGCAATGGGGTATAGAGATGGGTGATCGAGTTCAAACAATTTGGACTCAGATACAGAACAGGATCCTCAGAGTTTCCCAATATCATTCATAAACTTTCATTGAATTTTCACTTTCTTTTATTTTTTTTTCCAAAACAGAATACACTTTCTTTTTGCTATGATAAAGCAGAATTTAGTGTACCTGAATAATTGCATGAAAGAAGCAAATGCCAAATATTATTTGCCTCCATTTCCTTCCAAGTATATTTTCTTCAAAAAATGAAGGTGTCATTTCGGTAAATGCTCGTCTGATATTTGCACGTAAACCTTTTGGAGGCTCATTAGTTACCTGGATTTAGACAGAACACACATGGTAGAGAGTTTACAGATCTGCATTATTTCTGACTACTGGGTAATACACACAGACTGAAGCCATTGAGCAGATGTTCATGGGACATTCCTGGCATGTTTGAACTTGCTCTGTATCTCACTCAACTACAGAGTAGGGCCTGGCAGGGTCCTCAGACCTATAGTGGATGAACTATCTGCACAAAGACCTTAGACACGTTCATTTGGTGTCCATTTCTCTCAACATGGACTTGAAAACATGCTCAGGCCTTTTCCACTGAATTTTTTAGTCATTCCAACATTTGGCATTGTCCTACTCTTTGCCTTGATGACATGGGGCAGGGAGAGAAGAGGCACACCTTTGTTCCTGGGTGATCATTCATATGCAAAGGCTTCCTACGTATTGGAACCTTCTGCACTGAAATGTAGCAACCATATCACCTGTGCCTTCCTATTTCTCAACTGCTGACACAGTCCTTAACTCTGGGAGGGGTTCCATTCTCATTACATGGTACCCGTGACATTTTCTTGTGGAGTGCAAGAGGGAGAAGAGTTGAATGACTAACAGGACTAAGGCATATCAGGATGGGCAGTGGCTTGGGGAACTGTTTCCCTGCTTGTTATAAGATGAAGGGATGTTGACTTCCACCTCTCCCCTCTGGCTGCACAGACCCCAACATGGCTCTATGTGGGGCTTGAGCCCAGTGGACCCCCTTGATAAATACTCCGAGGTCAATCATCTGACGTTGCTCAAACCAGGCATACATTACCTTGACAGAATTTTGAAGAACTGTAACAGGAAATGTGTTACTAGGCATGGAACTTAAAAAAAGTCGAAAAGTGTCCTTGATAACAACAGCTGTTTTAAACAAAGACAAAACAAGAAAACAAGAAATTATTTCTATAAAAAAATAATTGTTATATGGTGGGGTAATGCTAGAAACTATTTAAGGACTTAGAAGGAAGGTTGGGCAATCCTACTTCCGTAGTGATACTGCCTCGGAAACCCAAGGAGGGGTCGCTATGAGTCGGGGCCGACTCGACGGCACATAACAACAACAACAACAAAGTTTAGCTAGTTTAAGTATGTGGTAAAATGTCCTAAAGTGGGAGTGGGAGTTTTTTCTGGAAACTTTTCACCTCAGAGGGCTTGGCAGCCTAGAAACTGGCACATTTGAGTGAAGAAATTAGGGGTATGTTAATTTCCAGTACTTGGCCAGGATGTTAAGAGATTTCTCTTTGAAATGGGGAAACTCTTCAATAAAAATGATAGTTATTGCTGGTACATTTATACTCCTTCGCCCCGCCCCATTAAATTTAAGGCATATTGCATGAAAATGGTCAGAAAGCCCCCAGGGCTTTTTCCCCTGCACCTACAAGCTGCGAAGGGAATGTGGTAGCAGGGATACAGCAAAATGTCTCACACAACAGAAACAAGGTAAGTAAGTAAATTTACTTTCTGAGCTGTAGGCAGAGAACCTAAAAAAGAACAAGTTCCACTATAGGTTCAAAAGCCCAAAGCAAAGTTGGAAAACATTGTTCCCATCACCAGAAGACAGAAGCATCATCCAAGAATGACCTTCTTAGTACTGGATTTGTGTGTGTGTATTTTATGGCATTAATTACATTCACTATATTATCTGTGATGGCGGACTATATGAAGAGGAACATGGAATCAAGATTGGAGGAAGACTCATTAACCACCTGTGATATGCAAATGACACAACCTTGCGTGGTCAAAGTAAAGATGACTTGAAGCACTTACTGATGAAGATCCAACACTACAGCCTTTAGTATGGATTACACCTCAACAAAAGGAAAACAAAAATTCTCACAACTAGACCAATAAGCAACATCATATTAAATGGAGAAGAGATTGAAGTTGTCAATGATTTCATCTTACTTGGATCCATAATCTACCCAAATGGAAGCAGCAGTTAAGAAATCAGATGCCATATTGCACAGGGAAAATCTGCCGCAAAAGACTCTTTAAAGTGTTAAAGAACATAGATGTCACTTTGAAGACTAAGGTGCTCCTGACCCAAGTCATGGTATTTTCAATAGCCTCATATGCATGTGAAAGCTGAACAGTGAATAAGGAAGACTGAAGACAAATTAATATCTTTGAATTGTAGCGTTGGTGAAGAACAGTGAAAATACCATGAACTACCAGAGGAGTGAACAAACCTGTCCTGGAAGAAGTGCAACTGGAATGCTCCTTAGGGGCATGAATGGCCAAACTTTGTCTCTCCTACTTTGGTCACATGGCCAGAAAGGACCAGTCCCTGAAGAAGGATATCATGCTTGGTAAAGTAGAAGGTCAATGAAAAAGGGGAATCCTCAATGAGATACATTGACACAGTAGCTGTGATTATGGGCTCCAGCATAGCAAGGATTGTGCAGATGGCATAGGACCAGGTAGTGTTTTGTTCTGTTGTACACAGGGTCACTATCAGTTGGAGCCAACTCAATGGCATTTAACAAAAGCTGCATATTTGGCAAGCATCACCACTATTCGTTTCCAAATTTTTCATCACCCTTAACAGAAACTCTGGACCCCTTAATCAGTAACTCCCACTTTTCCTCTCTCACTGGCCCTTGGTAACCACTATTAAACTGGTCTCTATGCAATTACCTATTGTAGATATTTCATAAGGAGCTCTGGTGGTACAATGCTTACACTACTAAAGGAAAGTTTGGAGGTATGAATCCACCAGTTAGCTGCTCCATGGGAGAAAGATGAGGCAGTCTGTTTGTATAAAGATCACAACTTAGGAAACTCTATGGGACAATTCTACACTGTCCTATAAGGTCATTAAGAGTCAATCATACGTACACACAGATATTTCATATAAGTAGGACCATGCAATATTTTTCCTTTTGTGTCTGTTTTATTTGACATGGTATTTTTAAGGCTTATCCATATTGTAACATGTAACATATCTTAGGATTTCATTTCTCTTCATGGCAGAATAATATTCAATTGTATGTATGTACCACATTTTGTTTATACATTCATCTGCCGATGGATATTTTTGTTGCTTCCACCTTTTGATTGCTGTAATACTACAATGAATACTGGTGTACAAGTATCTGTTTGTGACCCTGCTTTCAAGTCTTCTGGGTATGTATCTAGAAGTGAAATTGCTGAGTCTATGTTTTACTTTTTGAGGAACTGTCAAACTTTTCCACAATGGCTACACCATTTTACAATCCCACCAACAATAGATGAAGTTTCCGATTTCTCCACAACCTGTTTTCCATTAACTTGCTGTCCATTAGCATTGCTTTTTAAGTACATACGTACTTAAAGGGGATAAAAAGCCAGGAACCCGGACAGAAAAGCAGTCAGCCCCAGGGTTACATGTGAGGAGAGACAACTCAGGGACGCCTGAAGTAGCAAGCGGGAAGAGCAGGAGAAAGGGGATTAAAAGCCAGGAACCCAGATAGAGGAGCAGTCAGCCGAAGGGATTAGGTGAGGAGAGGCAACTCAGGCCCGCCCAGAGTAGCAGGCCGGAAGAGCAGAGAAAGGGGATAAAAAGCCAGGAACCCGGACGGAAGAGCAGTCAGCCCCAGGGTTACAGGTGAGGAGAGACAATGCAGGGATGCCCGAAGTAGCAAGTGGGAAGAGCAGGAGAAAGGGGATAAAAAGCCAGGAACCCGACAGAAGAGCAGTCAGCCCCAGGGTTACAGGTGAGGAGAGACAACTCAGGGATGCCCAAAGTAGCAAGTGGGAAGAGCAGGAGAAAGGGGATTAAAAGCCAGGAACCCAGAGAGAAGAGCAGTCAGCCGAAGGGATTAGGTGAGGAGAGGCAACTCAGGCCCGCCCAGAGTAGCAGGTCGGAAGAGCAGGAGAAAGGGGATAAAAAGCCAGGAACCCGACAGAAGAGCAGTCAGCCCCAGGGTTACAGGTGAGGAGAGACAACTCAGGGATGCCCGAAGTAGCAAGTGGGAAGAGCAGGAGAAAGGGGATTAAAAGCCAGGAAGCCAGACAGAGGTACAGTCAGCCACAGGGACCCAGTTGGGGGTGATACGAGAGGTCTCCAACAGCAAGAGAAACTTGTCTGTCGGTTTGTCCTACTGTGGTGACATGTAGACTTGAGTTTTGAGGCTGAGCCTCTGGTGTTTAAAACCCAGCAAGATGCACCTGGTGCACAGGTAACAGCCCAGCTTGTAGACTGAGACAGACTAGGAAGAAAGAAGAGGCCGTCCACCTCTCAAATAATTGGCCAGGGAAAACCTTATGAATAGCAAAGAAACACTGTTTGGAACATTACCGTGCACCTTTAGTAATAGTTCGTTTAGGCTAAAAGGCTCACAAAATAGGACTGGGAAAGAGCTGCAACATCTGAGTAAACCCAGCCTTACTCATATGGAAAAGAGAAAACTTTCAAGACCTTCATTTGCTGATGTGGCACCACTCAAATTGAAGAGAAACAGCCGCAGACATCCATTAATCATCGGAACATGGAATGTACGAAGTAAGAATCTAGGAAAATTGGAAGTTGTCAGAAAGGAAATGGAACACATAAAGATTGATATCCTCGGCACTAGTGAGCTGAAATGGACTGGTTTTGGCCATTTTGAATCAGACAACCATATGATCTACTATGTCGGGAATGACAGTTTGAAAAGGAATGGCGTGGCATTCATCATCACAAAGGATGTTTCAAGATCTGTCCTGAAATACAATGCTGTCAGTGATAGGATAATATCCATACGCCTACAAGGAAGACCTGTTAATATGACTGTTATTCAAATTTATGCTCCAACCACCAAAGCCACAGATGAGGAAATTGAAGAATTTTATCAGCTTCTACAGTCTGAAATTGACCAACCATGCAATCAGGATGTGTTAATTATCACTGGTGACTGGAATGCAAAAGTTGGAAACAAAGAAGAATCACCAGTAGTTGGAAAATTTGGCCTTGGTGACAGAAATAATGCTGGAACTCGTATGGTAGAATTTTGCAAGACCAACGACTTGTTCATTGCAAACACCTTTTTTCAACAACACCAAAGGCACCTACTAATGAAGGTTGAGATATGCAGACGATACAACTTTGCTTGCTGAAAGTGAGGATGACTTAAGGCACCTACTGATGAAGGTTGAAGAATACAGTCTGCAGTATGGATTACGTCTCAATAGAAAGAAAACAAAAATCCTCACAACTGGACCAATGAGCAGCATCACAATAAATGGAGAGAAGATTGGGGTTGTCAAAGAATTCACGTTGCTTGGTTCTACAATCGATGCCGACGGAAGCAGCAGTCAGGATATTACATGATGTGTAGCATTGGGAAAGTCAACTGCGAAGGACCTATATCAAGTGCTGAGGAGGAAGGATATCTCCTTGAGGACTAAGGTGCGCCTGACACAAGCCATGATATTTCCAATTGCCTGGTATGCATGTGAGAGCTGGACAATGAATAAGGAAGACCGAAGAAGAGTTGATGCTTTTGAGTTGTGGTGCTCGCGAAGAATGCTGGAAGTACCATGGATTGCTAAAAGAACTAACAGATCTGTCCTGGAGGAAGTGCAGCCAGAATGCTCCTTGGAAGCAAGTATGGCCAGACTTCATCTCACCTATTTTGGTCATGTTGTCAGAAGGGACCATTCCCTGGAGAAGGATGTCATGCTTGGTAGGGTGGAGGATCAACAAAAGAGGGGGAGGCCTTCAACGAGATGGATTGACACGGTGGCTGCAATGATGGGCTCAAGTATAGCAGGGATTGTGGGGCTGGCGCGGGATCGGGCAGTGTTTTGTTCTGCTGTGCATGGGGTTGCTATGAGTCGGAAACGACTCGACGGCACTTAACAACAACAACAACAACACGTATTTTGCTGTTCCTCAAACACACCAGGCTGGCTGCCACCCTACGGTCTTTGCACTAGCTGTTGCCTCTGTCTGGAAGGCTCTTCCCTCAGATTCCCTCACTCTCTTTAAAGCTTGCTCAAAAGTCACCTTCTCAAAGAGTTCCATCCAGATTACAACATTTAAAATTGCTCTCAGCCATTATTTCCCATTCCGTCTTGAGTTTTCTGATCCTCCTTACCTAACTCTCCTTTTAATCTTTTCAAAGCACCTACCACATTCTATCATACCATAGAAGTTATCCATTATCTCTCTCCTCTCCAAGAATGTAAGCTCCACGAGGGCAGGGTTCTTTGCTTTGTTCACTGACATGCCCTGTTCACATAGAGTGCTATAAGATACATAGTTTCTCAAATGCTTATTGAATGAATGAATGAATTACTACTTATCATAACTGAATTTATGCTTCTGGATTTGGTAGTATAAATTTGTGAACCACAATAAATAGCCATAATTAAAAGTTAGTTTTAGTAAAATTCTTGAGTAACACTAAAGTTGCTTGTATGGGACACAAACAAAAAAACCTACTAGTCATAGAAGTCAAATAGCAATAAAAGTCTTAGGACTAATGATTTCATTAACCAAAAAAATCTAAGTATGAAAAAGGTCAGGTTTGGAAAGTATTTTTTTTTTTTCATACTTTTTGTCCTATAATTTCAAAAGTATCAAGAGTCTTAACTTTCCTGTGAACTTTCACCCAAATCACAATAATTTTTTTTTTTCTAAACAAACAAAAAGAATCTTAACTTTCATGGACATCATAGGATTTTAGAGTTAGAAGGGAATCTTAGAAATTATCGTAGTATGGGATGGTTAGTGACAATATTATCCATTCACTGGAGAAACTGAGACCCAGAGAGAAGTGATGGACACAGTCAGGAAGTGGTAGAGGTGGAATGCAACAAAGATCTTAGAACTTCAAGTCTTGAGTTATTTTTTCTTGCTTTCCCTTTCTTATTTTATCACCTAAATGTATTTTATATTATATTGGTTCAAGTTAAACAACAGAACTCAGGTTGTTAAATTATAAACAACTGTAGCAAAGGCTAGAAGAGAACTTTTCTATCCACTTTAGCTTTAGTGAGCTGTAAGCAATTAAAACCCACAAAATGAACTTCAGCTGGCTTTCTTAGCCAGTCAAGTCTACTTGAAGAACTGGCATGTGCTTGCCCTGGTTATCTTGAAGCTGAATGACAGTGTATATCTTGGAGGCTCATATAGTACTGCTGTAGCAAACTGATTTTTAGAGGTCTTCCCTAGTTTTTTTTTTTTTCTTTCCCCTCTTAATTATAATCCTAATCATCAGAGAACCCTGAATAGAAGCAAGAAACAACCAGTTAGTGGCTGCCGTTGAGGTGATTCTAACTCATGGTGAGTTCATGTGTGTCAGAGTAGAACTGTGCTTCACAGGGTTTTCAGTGGTTGATTTTTTATAAGTAGATCACCAGGGCTTTCTGCTGAGGGGCAGGCTGGTCACTCTATTAAAGGAATAGCACTCTTTCTTAACTGTTGTTGTTCTTAGGTGCTGTCAAGGTGACTATCAACTCACAGAGACCCTATGTGAACTGCCCCATAGGGTTTCCTAGGCTGTGATCTTTTTGGGAGCAGATTGACAGGTCTTCCCATGGAGCTGCTGGGTGGGTTGGAATGGCCAACCTTTTAGTTAGCAGCTGAGCATTTAACTGTTGCACTACCAGGGCTCCTTCTCTACCTTAAGAGGTAGCAGTAAGTCACTTGTAAGACTGTCTGCATATTTCTTACCTTCCCATAAAGGTTTCTGTGGTCAGAGAACAAAAAGTGACCCAAGTGCAAGGGCCCTGGATATCCTAGACAATGGTTCTTCCTGATAGCCTCTTGCGGTATGGTGGAGTGGGTCCTATGTAGTTTGTTATCAATAATGCAGTTCCCAAGGTTTTGGTTATTTTTATAGTAACATTTTTAGATGAATAGATTCTAACTTCACTCGGTCTTGCCAGCCATTATACTTTCTTAAGTGGGAAAGAAAGTGGCATTATTACAGCTAGGGCCAGCCACTGTAAATAATGCTGGGCACCCCCAGGGGTGTGTGTGTGGCTAGGAGGCACCTGTGAAAGTTGTGTGGGTTACAAGAGTAAAAAGTGGTAAAACACTGCTCTAGGGAATTTTCCGTAACATACACTCTGTGCCTTAATGTCTCTTATTCTATAGCAAAAGACTGAATTTCCTTTCTTTGTCCTAAGTCCATTTTTCTATTTCTTTTTATCAAGTAATTATGCCTATAGGTAATATATTTTGAATTCAAATGGACTCCCATAGAAGGCACCATGAAACAGAAATGATACTGTGGATCATATCCTCAACTTGGAGTCTGAGAACTTTTATTTGAACCTTGGTTGTGTAACTTAATTAAATCTCTCTAGACCTCAAGTTTTTCCTCTTTAATGTGGGGAAACACAACGTCTACAACAAAGAATTTTTACAAGGGATTCACTAACAAAATACTACATAAAATGGCAAAGGCTAGGTGTTCAACATACTTGGATCTGTGAAGGTTTTAATCAGTTCCTCCATTGCCAACATCCAAGAAACGGCAAGATGGCAGTTTTGCAAAAATACCCAGTTTCCTGTTTTCATCGCATCCTTAATCATTCTCTCAGCAATGGGTCCTTGTCCTTGCCCCAGTGAGATTGACTGCACCCTGAATTAACAACAAAATACTGTTTTATGCTATTTGTAAGTAATGTGAATCTTATAAAATATAAATATAGCAGACTCTTATCTAAAATATGCATACATTTCTAATGTTCATTCTGATAGCTTATATTCTCATGCATATAAAGAATTATATAATTAGAATACTGCTCATATTCTAATGAAAATATTTTTTTCTCGTTTTCTTGTTCTTTAAAAAACATTTTTATTACAACACACATACTGGAAAGTGCAAAAAAACAAATATACAGTTCTATGGGTTGAACATCAGCAGTTGAGAAGGGAATTTTGTTGATATCCCAGAGGTACTTCCCATATGCCCTCCCCAACCCAATTACTTCCTCTTCCTCTTTCCAAAAGGTAACCATTATCTTGACTTCAACACTATAGATTAGTTTTGAAACCTTTTTAAAAATTGAAGCCCAACATATGCACAGAAGAAGTGCACAAATCACTAGTATACAGTGTAATGAATTCTCCCAAAGTGAATGCTCACACGTACCACCCCACTGGTCAAGATGGGGCAATCTACTTCTGTAGTGATACTGCCTCAGAAACCCAAGGAGGGATCGCTATTGAGTTGGGTCTGACTCAATGGCACATAACAACAACAACAATAATAGCACCCTACAAATCATTATCCCTCCTTATCCCTTAACACAACAACTATTTTTAATTATAACACCATAAGTTGCTATTGTTTGTTTGTATATTTTATATAAATGGAATTGTATATATATTTTTGTATTTGGCCTATTTGAAGCAACATTACGTTTTTGAGATTCATTAATGTTACTGCATGACATTTAGCTGAGTCATTCTCATTGCTGTACAATACTTCACTGCTGATTATACCACAATTTATTCATCCATTCTGCTTTTGATGGACATTTGAGGTGTCAAAGAGAGAAATTAATAGCAAATATCTTGCTTTGATTTTGGGGTTTTCTTACTCACGAAACCAAACAATTGACTTTGAAGAAATCCCTGACCAAAATTATCCACTTCTGACCCAAAGTTACAAATCCTTTCTTTCCTATTCAAAGCCAGGTTTACTAAATTTGAATTTTAAAAGATATGGCTGTGTGGAGGGACAGAGACCATCTCGTGAACTGAAATCCATTGATCCCAGTAAAAGGGGGCAGGGAGGGTTTCAATCAATCATGTTAAATTAGCCAGTGATTGATCTGTATTTCTCTCTTCCCTTCTCTTTATAAGCCTCATTGTACTTAGCTTTTTGAGCCATTTGCTTTTTTTGGAATCAAAATGGCTTTTCCTACATGCATATAGAATAACTGCCCCAAATAAACCTTATATTCAGATTCATTGAGTTTTGATCATTTTTAACAGGGTGTTTAGTTATTACATACAATGTTGCAATAAACATTCATATATCTATATCTATGGGAGCTCTGGTAGCATAGTGGCTAAGACACTTGCCTGCTAACCAGACGGCTGGCGGTTCAAACCCAGCAGCCACTCCTCGGAAGGAAGGTTGGGCAATCCTACTTCCGTAGTGATACTGCCTTGGAAACCCAAGGAGGGGTCACTATGAGTTGGGGCTGACTCGACGGCACATAACAACAACAACAGCATATCTATATCTATATCTATATCTATATCTCTATCTATATCTATCTATCTATCTATATATATGTCTTTTGGTATGCATATGCAATTCATTTTGTTGAGTACATTCCTAGGAGTGAAAAAGCTAGGTGACAGTCAACTTTTGAAGATAATATCAAAGTGTTTTCTAAATTGATGGTACCATTCCAACTTCCATTAGCAGATGAGAGTTCCTTTTTCTCCATCTCCTTGCTAATACTTAGTGGATGCATAGTGGAATCGCACTGAGATTTTAAATTGTTTTCTCTGGTTATTCATGATGAGGAATTTTGTCATTGTTATTGTTAGGTGCTGTCGAGTCGGTTCCAACATGTAGTGACACTGTGTACAACAGGATGAGGCACTGCCTATTCTTGCACCATCCTCCTAATTGTTACCATGCTGAAGCCGATCGTTGCAGCCGCTGTGTCTATCCATTCTCATCGAGGGTCTTCCTCTTTTGCACTGGTCTCTCCTGATGACATATCCAAAATATGTAAGATGAAGTCTCACCATCCTTGCTTCCAATGAGTGTCTTTACATAGGCTTATTTATTGGCCATTTGGCTGTTCCCTTTTGTGTTATTTATTCTCCCCTTTTTTTTTTTTTTAACTATTGGGTTGTCTGTTCCATTGATTTCTAAGTTCTTTATGTTGGACATAAGTCCTTTGTTAGCAATATTTACTACAACTGTTGTCTTTGTTTTTAAGTTTTATTGTGATTTAGGTGAAAGTTTACAGAGCAAATTCATTTTCCATACAGCAGTTCACATATTCTTTGTCTCATGACATTGACTGCAATTTGCTACAATGCAACAGCTCCCCTCCCACTTCCTCCCCATAGACACCTCTTCCCTGTGTCCTTCCCTCCCATGCACTCCTGTCCCCTGAGCTGTGTCCCTGTGCATACACAGCCCGTCTATTCTCCCATGATTGATCTCTCCAAAGAGTGTATTTACCTAGTGTAAATGTTCAGCTCATATGCCTGTCTTTTGTCTGGCTGGAAGCCACAGGAGTGGGTTCAATTCCAGACCTGAAGAGCAGCAAGGGGATATAGTCTCAGTGGTTCCACCAGGCTTTATCAGACCAGCAAACCTGGTTCCTCCCCCCCCCTTTTTTTTTAAAATGATTTTGAGTTTTGCTCCACATTATTCTCCCACTCTATCCAGGATCTCCTACATAGATCCCCCTCTGAGTGGTTGACAGTGGTAAGTGGGAACCATCTAGTTCTTCTGGTCTCATGGTCTTAAAAGCTGAGGATCACATGGTGTACCAGTCCCTTGGACTAATTGTTTCCATGCATCTTTGGCCTTCTTACATGCATCTTTGGCTTTCTTATTATTTTTTTTTTTTTGCTCTGGATGAGGAAAGACCCATTGTTGCAAATGTATGGCTGATTGCAAG